CCCCCCAAACATGGAGACTCAACATGTGTCTGCAGCACAAACTCCTACTGCTCTTCTGACCAGAGAGCACCTCCCTCTGAAAAGCACTCAGCTGACTGTCCACAAGCTCCCACTAAAATACAATGTGCGCATTGTGATGCAACGTGGGTGTTAGTCTGCCTAAGCTCCGTTTTACAGTTTTACAGAGGAGGCTTAGCAAGTATGCGTCTGATGGTTGCAGCAGGGAACGCTATGAAAGTCAAAGAAGCATGGACCGTGAGGGTCCTGGGCGAGGCAGACTCAGTGCGGCGGAACGACGACGTGCAAGCACAGAGCACTGGGAGTCCCGAGCCTACGCAATTGCTAAAGATGACAGAGCTGGCCCTGCCACGTGGTGGTCTACAAGTAGGGGCTTGGATGGACTTGCAGGCTGAGAGGTATGGGAGGCAGGCAGGGGGGAGTGGGAGTCCACCCACAAATATGTGTGCGACCAATAGAGGATATTTGTGCATGTAACTTAACTCTGCTGCAAATGTGTCCCTGAGCATGGAGGGAGGGAGGGAAAAGACACAAGGCACATACCCTCTGTCAGACTGATGTATACTGTTGTGATTAGGTGCCATCAAGTTGACCCCTTTGTGCAAGAGAGCGAAGCATGCACAGTCCTGCGCCAGCCTCACAATTGTCCATCCATCTCATCGATGGCCTTCCTCTTTTTCACCGCCCCTCCACTTTCCCAAATGTACAAATGTGCTTGATACAATTGATGTATGGGTTGTTATAAGACCTGTAAGAGCCCCCAATAAAATTATTTATTTATAATTTTAACAAAAAGAGCTCGTAGGATGGAATCAGTGTGTGGCCTTTAGTGCTTAGCTTCTCTCACTTAGTATTCTGTGTTCAAGGTTACCTATGTTGTAGCATGTATTGGTACCTTACTTCTTCTTAGGGCCAAATATTTCACTTGATCAATAAGACTATATGTTATCTAGCCTTTCAATAGTTGATAGACATTGTTGTTGCTTTCTCTTTTGAGGTATTGTTAACAATTGCTGCTATGAATATTTGAGTATATGTTTTTGTGTGAACATATGTTTTTCATTCTCTTGTGTATATACCTATCAGTGGGATGACTGGGTCACAAGATAACTCTCAGAAGACCTGGTGGTACCGTGGTTGAAAAGCTGAGCTGCTAACTGGGAGGTCTGTGGTTCAAACTCAACAGCTGCTCTGCAGGAGGAGGAAGTGGGAGCCTGTTCCCATGACAGACAGTCTTGGAACCCCATGGGGCAGTTCTCCCCTCTCTTGATAGGGTCAGAATCGACTCGGCAGCAGCGGGGTGATAACTACAGTTCACTATTTTATTGTGGTAAATTACACATCCCGTAAAGGTCGCCATCTGAACCTGTCCAATTCCCTGGCAGCACTGTTGAGCATTCTGAGGCACTGTGAAACTGCTTCCCAAAATGGCCACACGATTTTACATTCCAACCAGCAACACATATGGGGGGAGGAGATGCCATTTCCCCCACAAACTCCTCACTTGTTAGCGGGCTTTTTCATCCCAGCCATCCTAGTGGGCGTGGAGTGCGTCTTGTTGAGGGTTGGTGGGCATCCCCAACGACCGTGGGTGGCCAGCACCTTTTCCTGTGTTCGTCATTTGCTCCTTTGCCGGGGTCTCTGGTCCCTCCAGGACACCTTCTGACCTTGAATACAAGTCCACCACAAAGTGTTTGCTCACCCCAGCTTACTCTGGGTCTTCCTCCCAAATAGGTCTTTTCTTCTCAGTTTGACTTCTCCTTCAGTTAAGAGATAATGTAGACTTCTTTTTCAAGCACGTAATAGATTAAGTGACTGCTCTGCATGCTCCAGAGGGAGAGGGAGTCTTGAAAGATGGCTACTGTTTAGACAAGGATGACTATTTGCTTATTTGGCTAACTCTTGAGAATTTTTGCCTTCTTAATGCTGTAATCATCCTGCTCTTAATCATAGAGCAGCTAAAGCAAATGGAAGAAAGGATGAAGTCAGAGGGCTGAATAGAACATTTCAAAGGACAGCTCAAGAAGACAAAGACAAATAGTATAATGAAACGTGCAAAGACCTAGAATTAGAAACCCAAAGGGAAGAACATGGTCAGTACATCAGAAACTGGAGGAAGAACTCAGGAAAACATTCAAGTCTTGCATTGCAATACTTAACGATTCTATGTGCAAATTATTGAGTGATGTAGGAACATCAAGAGAAGATGGAAAGAATGCAGTCACTGTACCATAAAGAATTAAGTTAACATTCCACCATTTCAGGAGGTATCAGACGAACAAAAGCCAGTCATGCTAAAGGAAGAGCTCAAGCTGCACTGAAAGCATTAGCAAAAAACAAAACTCCAGGAATTGAATAACTATCAATTGAAATGTTTCAGAAAGTTGGCGAAGCGCTGGAAGCACTTACTCCTACATGCCAGGAAATTAATAAGACAGCTTGTTGGCCAACTGACTGGAAGAGATCCATATTTGTACTCATTCCAAAAAAAAGGTGACCCAACATAATGTTCAAGTTATAGAACAATATTATTAATATCACATGTAAAAAAGTAAAAGTTTGCTGATGATCATCCAACAAGGGTTGCAGGAGGACATTGATAGTGAACTCCCAGCGGTTCAGGTGGATCCAGAAGAGGAGGTGGACCAAGGGCTATCATTGCTGATGTCAGATCGATCTTGACTCAAAGCAGAGAATACCAGAAAGATGTTTACTTGTGATATATTGACTATGCAAAGACGTTGGACTGTGCAGACCATAATAAACTATGGGTAGCCTTCAGAAGAATGGGAATTCCAGAATACTACAGTGTGCTCATGCGGAACCTGTACATGGATCAAGAGGCAGTTGTGTGAAGGGAGCAAGGGCACACTGCAGGGTTTACAATCAGGACAGGTGTGCATCAGGGTTGTACTCTCTCACCATACTTGTTCAGTCTATATTCTGAACAAATTATCAGAGAACCTGGCTTATATGAAGAATAATGTGACATCAGAATTAGAGGAAGGTTTAATTATCAACCTGCAGTATGCACCTGACACAACCTTGCTTGCTGAAAGTGAGGAGGACTTGAAGCACTTGCTGATGACGATCAAGGAATGCAGCCTTCAGGATGGATGACAACTCAATGTAAAGAAGACCAACATCCTCTCAACTGGTCCAACAGGTCACATCGTGATAAATGGCGAAAAGGTTGAAGTTGTTAAGGATTTTTTCATGCTAGATCCACAATCAATGCTCATGGAAGAAGCAGTTAAGAGCTCAAAGGCTG